TTAGTTACAAATACAAATTATTTATTCACTTGTATTGATAAAGGATGATGTGACATACGGCCCCCGGTAAATTGACAAAAAATTAAATATCTAAATCTTACTCTAATTTTTGCATGCACTTAATCACTGATATGTATACCCTCATAAAATACAACTTTTACCGAAAATAGAAACAGAATTTGGAAGATATATGTCTTTATTTTGAGTAGGGGTATCATGTTTACATCCAATTCCCATTGAACTTTGGCCCCGCCCACTCTTTGAAGCCCTTAAAATATACGAGCGCAAGTAGGTACATTTTTCTCCTTTGGCTGGTCACTGTCTTCTATTGAAATCTACCTATGTGTGAAAAGAGAAACATGTACCTAACTGCGCTCACATGTTGTTTTTAAAAATGTAAAATCTAGCTGGCCTTTCCCATTATCAACAGATCGACGAAACTATTTTTTCTGACGTAAGAATAAATTCATATGCTAATCGAGGCACTGGCGATACTTTCTAACTGACCAATCAGCTAAATGAGTTGCATAACTAGTGAGTACAACAAAAATACTAAGGACATTTCATGCGTAGAAAAAAGATTGTTTTTTTAACCTGCTTTCCGATAGACATTTTTATGCATTTGAGTCACAGATTAGACACATTTACAAACAATTGATTTATAAATATACATAGTTAAAAGTTTTGTAAAGCGTTCGGTGGGCAATTCGCTAGGTCTACACGTATTCCCGAGAATCAGTTAATAGAAGTTTCATGTGCATTTCTTGACCCCTAAACGGTAAACACTGCGGTTCCATGCGTATTATTATGTAAAAATAGCCTTGGTTGACCATTCAAAGTTTGTGTAAATTGACCTAAACCACGTGATAAAATGTAAACATGTAGTAAACCAGCATGTTTTGTCGTTCTGTCATCGGATTGGACAATTGTTCTCGGTAAGCGACTATGTGCAAAATAATAACAATAGCCATATAAGGTAGATTCCTCAAACATGCATATCCCTCTATTGTACTAAGACCCGCCTATTCTCTTTTCATATAAGAACGTATTGTCACAAACCAGGCCGAATTTTGCTGTCATAGGGTAAAAAAAAATCATAGATAATGCAGTAATCCTTATAATTAAAACTTGTCGGAACTATTGAAACTATTCAAAAGGCGTCGTATTTATTCACTCTTGTATGAAAACTATCAAAATCGTTGTAGATTAAATATAATTCGTCGTAGAAAAAGGGGCCCCAGATAGCAGTTATGTCACATCATCATTTTAAATGCTTTGGAGATCTTTAAGGTTTGTAGAGTAAAATTTAAGGCATATACTTTATTTTTTATAGTAAATCTGAAAGTCTTTGTCTGCCACTCAAATTCGTTTATTGTAAACGTCGTTTTTATTCGCGATATGTCAGTTTGAAATCCATCCGTGACGATAAATTTTTCGCGACTGAGGAAACATTCTCTATAAATACAAAGCAAAATAAATGGTTCACGGCGATTGATATTCGCGATTTAAAGTAGGTCGCGAAACTCGTGGATATTTCTCGCACGTAAATAAAATTTGGTTTACAGTAATCGTTTTTGTATGTAATCAAAATTCATAATTGTAGAGAGAAGAAAATTAAAGCCAATACATATAGTTATTGAATACAATAACCAAAGCCTTTGGTTTTATCATGTTTAGGTATGTGTACCTGGTGACTTCGAACCACAAACCTTTGACGATAATATATATATCTAGCTGGCATGCTCGTTTTTAAGATCTTATAGCCGATACATTACGTGTAGCTTTTGCAAGACTTATTTTCATGAACTAATTTTATCCGTCTTTCATTCGTCCTTCATTGCAACTTTTTCGAAATAACCTCTATCTTATCTCTCTATAATTGATGGATTAGAAAGTATTATTAGAAATAGGATAATGGAAGCGGGCTAATAAAAGAGGGTAAAATTATATAAGCCCCTCTTTCAGGTTTTCAGGAAAATGTATAACCATGAAAAGAATCACTTCATTCGCTTACCTCAACACGACTTCAATTTCTATATATTTCGCTCATCATGGAACAATGCCCCCAAAATGATTTTTTTCATACTTTTACTTGATGTATACAAACTATTTAAACTAATTTAAATCTCAATGAATTACATGTAATAAATAATCAAAACATTTATTTTAAATCAATTTCTATTCGATATATTATCGTTCACGGTAGCTCAGTGGGTAGAGCGCTCGCTTCGTGATCGGGAGGTCGTGAGTTGTAATCTCGGCCGCGACTGACCTAAGTCGATAAAAAATGGGTAGCAACTGTTCCTTCGCCATGCGCTCGGCACATTGAAGTGAAAGTTGCGGGTCCTTCGGATGAGAACTTAAAAACCGAGGCCCCGTGTCACGGCAGGCGTTGGCACGATAAAGATCCCTCACTGTTCAATGGCCCTGAGTGCCGAGTAAAGGTCAAAATTTGAAGCCCTTCACCGGTATATGGTGACGTCTCTATATGAGTGAAAAATTCTCGAATTGGACGTAAAACAACATACAATCAATCAATCAATATTCGATATATTTTAAAATTTCATTCAAAAATTAATATTTTGTTCTCTTTTATATAATTATCTTTAAATTAAATTCTAGATCATGTTCTTATCAGGGATTGCATTTATCAGTAAGATCGTTTATCAGATTTTGCATTATTCATCAAGATTGTAACTGAGGTTTTGCATTTATTGTCGAGATCATTCATAAAGGTTTTTTTAGTTTATTGTATCGTGCATGAATCCTATTCTATCCCTGTTGAGTCAATAATAGCGTTGCCAGTATTTCTAAAGGACAAGATAGGCTAAAACCCCTTTTTGGCCCCTGATTTGGTGTGTCTTTTAGAATGATGCAACAGTTTATCAATTAAAACTTGTTGTCTTCCCTGCCACAAAATGAGCATTAGTTCTAAATTATGGGATACACAGAAGTTATAGGAATGTCAGAAAATATGTCAGTTTCCGATTTTTCTCATTTTTATGTAAATTTTCATCGATTTTACAGCACATTTTGTTTTAGAAAACATAGAGCACAAGCTTGCCTATCTACCAAATTTATATATTTCATACACTAGTATCAGATGCATCTTGTGTATAAAAATCTCATATAGGCAAGCTTGTACTCTATGTTTCCTGAAGTGAAAAGTATCTCAAATTTAACGAAATTCCTCCAGAATTGAGGAAATTCGGGAAAATGTCCTACTTCTGCACCTTCTTGTGCCCTCCGTTTAAGCTTTGAATAAAAATTATTGCTGGTTTTAAAAGAAGCATCATTTTAAATTCTTAACTACAAACTATCGCTATTTTAACTGTGTTCTGCTTTTTGCTTCAAATAAGGGGCAAGATTCGGCCTTTACCATCCCTTGTCCTTTGTTTGTAATAATTACCATCAATGATTAAATTATAAGTAAACTTTCTTGCATGCTTTAATTACTTTTAAAAAAAATACATGTAAATATATATTTTGCCTGTACACATATTATATAATAACAATGAATCACTCTGGGATCATTTTAATCCTTGGGGATCAATGTTTGTGACATTACATTTTGCCGTCCTGCACATATTGTTGCTCGCTTATATATACCTACCCTTACTGTATATATTGTCATCCCTCAGTATATACTGACACCATTGACGATATGTGTCGATTAAGCCTTTAATCTCTGTGCAGAATGGACGACAAGGTGTACCTTATATGTTGGCATATAAAGTGTCGGTGACTATGTATGCTGCGACATTTACTTATTTATCGCCTAAAGTATATTGTTTAAAGAATGCTTTACTGGAGTCGGAAAGGAAGAGTGAGATAATCTTGATATTCATAATGAATTTATATTAAAAGAGAGATAAATGAATCCATATCTATCATGTTCATTGCAACATTCTTCCTTTTCAAGTGCAATATGTATTTTAAATGTAGCATTTTATTTCAACTGCTTTATTATAGTTAATAAGGACAATCGTATGTTAAAAACATTGATTTTTTTTCTTTTTGCGAATGTTCAATCTCAGGAAATTTTAAGATATAATTTTCGATTTAAATATCATTTTTGTGTAAACTACCTTCTTCACTATAAACAGAAAAACTCGTGTGCTACATCGCGCCTTAATGAAAAATGCTCACGTGACATGTTTGCGTGATTTATACACGAATCTAACAAAATAACAGAAAAATATCTTTAAGTAATCGTAACTGTCGGGCGACTATATGTGCAGTGAGGATAGGTACATATTATTGCCAGATTCAATATGTACATACATAATTTAATTTTTTTAGCCGTTGACAATACGTGCAGATGGACGACAATATATGCAGTGAGGTTAGGTGAATATCATTGCGGATGGCAATACGTTTGATAACAAGAAAATATACCGTCACAAAAATTATATTTCGTTAAGGCCTTATTTCGTGGGCTATTCATCTATACAGAATATTCAATGAACCGCTCCCTCGAAAAAAATTATTACTCGTAGGGATGTTCATTCGTGGGTAAGAGAGACCCACAAAGTTAAACATTGATCCCCTATTGGTTACCCACAGACAATGATGATTTCACGGTATGTTCAATATGATTATATTTATGTTAAAAGTATGAACAGAACTCGGACTATCATGCTAGACTATGTAACACTGAATATGTGAGTAAATTGATTGATCTGGATTTGCTCCATTTCTATCCATTTGAATTCGTGAGAAACTAGCTTGATCTAGATCTGTTTTATCACTATGTTTTACTTAATATATGTCTAAATTGTATAATCGCGTACTGCTCGATCACTGTCTATGTGATAAGAAAACATTTGTGTAACTTTTTTGAGCTTGTTGTGGTCCATCATTATCTATGAAATATGTGTGTACATGTATAACTTGTGTAATCCGGACTTGCTGCATCATTATCTATGGAACAGGGAATGTGTGTGTAACCTATGCAATCTGGAGCTTTTCAATCTTTATAATACGGAATATGTGTTTAACTTGAGTCATCTGGAGCTTTTCCATCACTATCTATGTAATATGGAAAATGTGTGTAACTTGTGTGATCTGGAGCTGTTCCATCACTAACACTCCTGTGGGGCCTTCATCTGTATTTTCCTCTTTCAGATGTCGAGCTTGGTAAATGGACCAGCAGAAGTAAAACATCTGAAACCAGACGTTTGCTTCATTTTTCCAACTGTGGATTAAATAATGTCGGTTTTTTGAAATGTATTTAATACATTACTAAACTCTACGAATAAATAGTCCTACCTGTAGAATATTATAAATGGACGCTGCCAAGCAAACGTAGAACGCCCAGTCAAACTCCCCTAAATCACGTGACACCAAAATCATGCACCCAGTGAAACCAAGAATACCTGAAAATGAACAAAAGAGCGTTTGGATAGACCAAAATATGTTTGATTTGCAAACAAATCAAGACAATAAAAGACAATTTCAATATAATGTCAGAAAACATATGGACTCACATATATTATGTTTCTTAGGATTTACAAAAATGGTCGGACTTAGAACAAAATATTTGGTGATGCATTGAAGATGTCTTTTGAATATCATTCCCATTAAATAAAGGTTATGGTGATGTTTCAGTACTTGGGATTTTAAAGATTCTTACTTTTTATCATATTCTAAAATGGATGTTACTTACCGGAAAATGGGTAAAAGATTGAAACACATCCAGTGAAACATTCGCACCAAGAAAAATCGTCTTCATCGTCATTATGAGAGTAACGAAACGATATCAGGGCATTTACTGTTGTCAGGGCCATCACAATTCCCGCAATAATCTCTAGGGCCCTTACAGTCTGGTCCATACCTATAACTGTAATCAATACTCTCCCCAGTACCATATTTTGATAGTGAAATTGTGAAATTTGAAAAGTGAAATTCTTTTTGAAAACATTTTTCTCCACGTTTGTCCATAATAACACATTTTTATTGAATTTGTTAGAAAAAAGTTTCCAGGTATACAACAAAGCAACTTTTATAGGGTGAATTAACCCATTCCCTTAAATTGCCGAAAGCTGTTCACCATCATATACTCATTATTATAATGTCAAGTTTTCCCGATCTTGGACCCTCAGAAATATTCATTTATCATAAACAAATTCTTTTCTTTCAAATGTCACTTTGAAAGTTACCCTAAGTCAAAGTGATCACTTTATCATTTTTCTTTGAAAATAATAAAGGCACGTTAAATGAAGTAAATATATTTTTTTCTTTTGATGAAGTCTTTTAAACTTAAACCAGAAATCAATGTGAGAAAGGACCTTGGTTTGAACAAACTTAAATCTACACTGTATACCGTTTAACTGTTTTGCATGTCAATTTTTTCAAAACACTGATATTTCAAACTTGCGAAGTCCTATTTTTGCGACTCTTTCAGTGGTCTATTAGAATTATATTTCTTTCTTCTTTATTTCTTTCTATTTGTGGTACACACAAAATGGCTTTTAGATGTGAATTTATTTTTTGTCGATCTAAAAAATCTCACAGAAAAGCCAAAAAAAATTATTATGGCGATAAACATCTTAAATATTTACCTCTTGCGCCTTTTTTGCACAAACTTGAATTTCCATTCTATAGGATATCATCATAAAAACTTTTCACTCCCGGGGTGTCTTTTTCATTTTTCAGCCATGAATGTAGATATATATTTGTAATAAGCAATTATTAACGATTCCATAATACATTCTGTCCCCTGCCACAATGTTATCTTTCATAGTTTTGCTTAAGGTATGCATTCATTTTTTATACTTATTTATTTTTGCTTTAGATTGCTATAAAAGAATCCGAGTTGGACAAACAAAAATCCAGTTTACTTTTTACTGTATTGAATAAGTAAATTAACCTCGAGGATAGTCCCATGACCAACAATCATCCTGGAAGATGACCCCTACATAACATTCTCTTGTCCCATTAGTTGCTGCTACCTTCACCCACCGTGTCGAGAAGATCCCGGAGAGTTGTAAGGCACAGGTAGGGATATAACAGAAAATAATGAAAGTCACTACTTTTCCGCTCATCTCTCAGTCCGACTAAAAAAAATGTCTTTTCTTTATCAAATCAACATCGTATGTCGTAATCTTTATTACACTAGTGATAATTTATCTTCTTTCGTGGAAACAAAAGATTCTTGATTTATCATCTGAATTACATAACATATCTTTGTTAGCAAAGTTAGATACAACTGAACCTATGTGGGGCACATAAACAGACAAACTCTACTACTTAAAGCATTACCCCTTTATACTTTGAAAGAATAAAAAGAAATACATATTTGGGGGGGGGGGGTTACTTCAGATGAAACATTTCACTTGAATATCTAGGGCTAAATATTCCTTTTGTTAAAAACAATTCATAGAGAAAAAAAGCTATTTTTTAAACTAGTATGTATGCTTAAAAATCTTAAATACATATCTCTCATCATTCTGCCTTTGAAGAAGTGCCCCATGTCAGAGTGTAGGGACATGGGTTTGCAAAAAAGAAACAGAAAGATAAGATAATCAATTTATCCTTCCTACTCCTTCATGACACTCCATGACAATTTTTGTGATCATTTTTTCAGAGACAAATTTTTACATTGATGTTTGTGCATTTTTAATACATTCTTAATATCAAGATTACAGGTATATTTGCAATGAATGCTCTTTCATATTGCATAACGCCAAAGGAAAGCAATCAGTTTCTCATTTCTACAATTATTTTAACTTTATAAAGGCATGTTGATCATACGAGGGCCGTTCAAAAATTACGCGGACTCTGCTATTATTTACCCTTACAGACGTCATATAGACTTAAAATTTCACAGGAACATATTTCTTAAAGATTCCAATAAATCCTTGGTTAAATATGTTGCTTTTATTCAATATCTCTTAAAATTATTGCTGTTTTCATACTGTTGATGGTGATGTACGGAGCACGGCAAAATGTTGAAATACAAAACTGCGGTATCCAATATTTTATTCATTTATTTCCATATTTCACGATATTATTCAACAATTTTCTCTAAAATTTCTTTTAATTGTTGTATTATTAAGTTTTTATATTTCTGACGTAATATTTGAAGTATTAACAGAAATATTGCAATTTTTCTCAGATGTGACCCCTACGAAATCAATTTCAAAAAGAGCATTTTTATCAAATCATGAATCTTGCTGGGAAAACGCCAATGGGGACCCAAAATAAGCTTGATGAAACATATAGTAAACTCTACAAAATATAGAAAAGAATTTTAGACTGTTAGATCTTAGTCAAAAGACAGTCCGTGAGGGATGGAAGAAGTTCATCGACAAAACACTGATCTGGACTGTTAAGAACATGATTGAGATCGACTGACGTCAAACTTTACTTCAGAAATATCTGCAGTTTTGGGGTTTAACACAAACTAGAACACACAATACTAGTTTTATAGTTTTTAAGCTAGATCAGAAATGGTATATGGATGTTTATTTTGAGTGGTTAAGGTAACCCAAACTAAACAGTATTATATACTAAGGGAAAATATTGAGAAAATGAAAGCTCCCATTTTTTAAAATGCCCGTGGCGTTGAAGGTTTTACTGCGCCGTGACTTCATGATATGTCCTGTTAAATCACCCGAAATTGATACTAATTTACAATATTTTTATTTGAAATTTTGATGACCATATATAAAAAGATTCTTTTATATTATTTATTACTTTTTGCTTGATTATGTCGTCAAATATATTTTCTGTGCAACAAGTCCGCGTAATTTTTGAACGGCCCTCGTACAAATATGCATTTTGTTTTACAATGTCACATATGTTATGTGTTATACCATATATAGCGCTCGAGATCTTTTAAAGAGCAATTGCCCCGCGAACTTAACTTGAAAATCAACTTGATATCAAAATTTTTGCCTCCCAAAATAGAAAAATATAAATTATACTTTTTTCTATTTGTCATCTAATCTCTTTGTGTTAGCAATCCGGTGAACACATTTGTTCTTTTAGTTACTCATTGCTTCCATTTTCTAGAAAATTTAGTGTTTGTTTAATGTATGTTGAGATCTTTTTGAGTGCAAGACTTTATGTAAAAAGCAATTGGTCGAGAAAAACTGCTGGTTTATCTCATTGGCTAGCTAGTTGTGGTATGTTAAAATGCTGTTACATCAATAGAGGTCCGTTCATTTGATTTTTTTCATCATTGCGCACCAAAACATCCCGGATTTTGATTGTTTTGCAACAATAATTAATACAGGGGACTAAATTTTGTCTTTAATATACAGCATCTTGCCGGTTTTTATCTGTCATTTTGTTTTCTCTCTCCTTTAGCTGAATACTTTAGTGACCCGCAATTAAGCAACCTGCAATATTGCATTCATGCTGTTTTGATTTATTATATCACATTATGGCGCTTGCATAATAGACTGAAAACATTCTTTTGAATGTTAAAAATACAAATTTCTGAATCAGCAGACATATAATAACATACTTACCTACTTAGATTGAATTCGATTGTTAAAACATGATGCTTAATGTGGAAAATATTCTTTATCCTGAATGTCACCATAATTATTTTTCATTTTATGACAATGTCATTTCTATATCGAGTGATCTTGACTTTTGGGAAACATGTCTGCTTTGCTTTAAGATATATCCGTATGTCATTGGTACCATGAGTTGAAAATATTCGACATTATACATTATAGTACCATTGTCCCATTCGTTTTATTCTTCAGATATAACCTTGAGTAAATATATTCTTTGAATAGATATTCTTTGAATAGACATAATTGATTCCATTATTGAAACTACTTTTCATCTTTGAAAATATTCTTCAGAGGAACCTAGGATACACTATGCTACGACATATTCAAGAAGTGTTGTTTATAAAATGTGGACTCTCATAAATTTTAAAGAAGTTTTAGAAGATATAAAATATTCAATTTCTGAGAAAAAAAAATTCCACGGTTTATATCGACACATATGATTTTTTAACACTTCAAACAGCCATTATTTACGAAAAATAAAAGATAATGTTTTTGATATCATAGACAATGCTTCTCCAATAAAAACAGAACTCGGACATTTTATATCTTGTGACTGGTCATCAACACAATTATTTTCTTAAAAAAAACCTTTCTAATTCTACGTAAAAATAGTTAGGTTGATAATAAAAAATGTTGGAGTTCTTCACTGACAATATCTATGTAGTCTTTGGATACAAGGTCATCCAACAATCTGTTGGAATTTTACGATTGTGCTCTTTTATAAGCTGACCTGTTTTCCAATTCCGATGAAGCAGAAAACTCACGGTGTTGACTTCGATATAAATAAACGACGTTTTGTCCATTTTTTCATTTGTCAACTCAATATATCCCAGTCAACTCAAATAAAAGACCACAGAGTTCCATATTTTGATGTGTAACTGACATTTGACCATTATGGCTTACAAACAACTAAACTGTTTGACAAACAAGATCACTTTTATTTTTCAATCGTCAAGTTTCCTTATTTATGTACTTATATTCCGTTATCACCTGCATATGGTGTTTATGTCCACCAACTAATTGGATACAAAAGAACACACTCTAAGAAGTTAGAAAGATCAATTTTTAAACTGAGGCAAACTACTGACAAATTAATTGTTGTTGCAGGGATTCCAACATCCTGGTTTTAAAGTCAGTATTTAGTAAATTTTATGGTGGATTTAATGACCTTGTTTGCAAACAAAGTCTATTACTGGGTCGTATTTTGACTGCCATGTTTTATACCAATTGTTAGGCCTTTGTTTTTACAATGTAGATTCTAAATTTAGCTACGGATTTCTCCGTCAACCTGATGATTACATAGGGCTCACAGCGGATGTGACCAGTCGATAGGGGATGCTTCATCATCCAAGACACCTGATTCAACCGCTGGAGTTTCCAGTGGTCCGTGTTTTATTCCCTATTCTGAAACTCGTATTGACATTAAGAATTCTGATATCGATCACTCATTATTTTCACAATTTTTATAGCATTTGCTTATGGAAATATAGCGAACACATTATTTATATGATCATAAGATTCTTGCTTTTACAAAAATTCATATCCCTTGGATCATTTTAGGACAGTCATGACACTCAGGTGACCGTCAGATTCCATGTTTCTCTTGTAAATTTACATTACAATCATTGATTTGCTGTGTAAATCCTATTATCTACTTACCGTCACGGTAACTCAGTCGGTAGAGCGCTCGCTCCGTGATGTTCGAATCACAGCCGCGACTGACCTAAGTAAATAAAAAAATATGTAGCAACTGTTCCTTTGCCAAGCGCTCGACACTTTGAAGTCAAAGTTGCGGTACCTTCGAATGAGACCTTAAAAACCGAGGCCCAGTGTCACGGTAGGCGTTGGCGCAATAAAGAACCCTCACGACTCAATGGCCCTGAGTGCCAAGTAAAGGTCTAAATTTGAAGCCCTTCACCGGTATATGGTGAAATCTCTATATGAGTGAAAAATTCTCGAACGAGACGTAAAAAAACATACGATCAAACAATCAATCTATTATCTACTTAAAAGTATATACGTTTATGATGTCACATGAGATATTGTAATATGAAGGATATCAGATTTAAATTTGTACAAATCTAAATAAATAAACATATTGTCTTGAAATTCTCTGACATTTATAAACACAAAACATTCAGATATACCTGATAATTGCTCAAGCCGAGTATGTTGTTCACGGATTTTACAGACTACAAGAAGTCCAAATAAATTGAAGAAAAGAATTCGCTTAATCAGGAAACAATTTAGTTGTGGTGCCAAAAGATTAATAACAGGAAAAATTGGAATCTTATGTTTTGATTAATATATACATAAAAGAAATAATAACAAAACCATTTGAAGAATATTTCATTTTGTTTTGTCACAACTCTTTGTAGAAATAGCTAAATGGTATAGAATAAAATTGTATCTGTATATAATGATATTGATCTAAAATAAACACTTAAAGCTGCTTAATCCTTTGGATAAGTTCAAGGAATCGTTTGTTTTAAACTAACAAATTAACACAATCTGTAAGATGACTAAGAACACATTGCATAAAAAGCATGAAAAAGATTCAAAGTAAATCTTCCAAAATACAACAGCAAAATTTTAGAAAAAAAGAATTATGGTCTTATATTACATTAACGTAAGCATAAGAACACAGCATACATGTATAATATAAAATTTATAAAATCAGAGGATATATAGAAGGATATTAATGTTGTGTGATTTGATATTTGCTTCATCCAACGAGTTGGCAAACCTCACGAATATACACCATTTCAACTCGACGGATAAATCAAATATCAAATCACACAATTGCAGATGATCTATTTATCCCATATGATTTTCATTTCTAGCAAAACTTTCAGATAACCCCTGTGAAACTATGAATGATTACAATCCAAATCGATGACACGTTAATTGATGACGTCGTACTGTCGACGTTGACATGCCGAAAGAAAGTTATTTGTAGATCATTTGTTGCGTCTTTTAAAACATATGTATCTGTTGCCCTAACGTTTTCTTTGAGAACGAGGGGGGGGGGGGTTAACATTCGTTATCGCAGTAGCCAGTACGATACATTCATAAATTTTGACATTTCATTGAGGTATAATGAGTCTTTTCTAGATTTTAACGAACATTTTTGCTCATTAGCATTCATTTGATAACGCAGAACTTTCACAAATAAAAGTTTCGATAGATCTACATCTTGAAGCGAAGGTATATCAAAACCGGAAGTGCTATTGATAAAGCATACCCGTGGATAAAGCATAGGTTTATCTGATGGGTAGTATCCACCACACGTATGAGATAAAAAGAGGTTTAGATAATCTTCCTTTAAGATTTTCAACAAAAAAATGACGTGTAACCAATCACCTAGGAACCTTCAGAAAACATTAGAAATACCTTAACTTCGATTTTTTTTTCTTTTTTTTTTTTTGTAATTGAAATGGTTTACATTCCAATTTATCTTATAAATATATAGTTATGTCTTACGTTGACCAAAATGTTTTTAGTAAGATACATGTAGCATAATAAACTCTACTATAAAATTGTTGATTTATCGTTTTTTGCAAGGTATTCTTTGCAAATTCTGAAAAGAAATCAAACAAATGTATCAATCAGGTAGAACCTTACAATTAAAGGAATTAAGCAAAAATATGCATACAACATACTGATATTTTGAAGTTGACAGATACATATAATGCAGGAGCTTGGGGGCTTTTGCTGATATTTTCCGAAGGTGTATATTTCCCTCTTCTTCTTTTTTAAAAAAAAAATCCTCCAGACTGATACCATAAGTACATGTGCCTGCAAAAACCTCTGAACTGCCTCACATCTAATTTCACTTCGATGGTAAATGTAATTACTGGAACTTCATAGTCAGTGATTAAAATTAAAACCGGACGGATGGAAAGGATTTTCCTACATTAATTACATCTATTTGTTATTTCAACCAAGTGTTCCTTCTATTTCATTCCTATAGCATTTTTAGCAGCCTCAGCTCCATTTGTGATTGCTACTTGGGCGAATTTCATAATGCTGTGGCCGTAACTGTTGGATTGTGTTTGTGTGTCGCCATCTTTACTACTGCCCTTTCCCTCCACAGACTCTTCAGGTTTTCCGTTAGATTTACGTTTGGAGGATCTTATTCCCATTACAGTTGTTACAATCAGAGTAATTATAATCTGTAAAAGTAGAAATTATCTATTTATTCTAAAAGTAAATTAAAAAAACATGTCATTGTAAATTGTTTAAAAGCTACTGATGTATCTCCCTGTTTATTGCCCTCTCACAGAAAAATTGATTAATATTTACTTCAAAAATAATTTTGGAAGTTTTTTGTCAGTTTATAACGAGATATAAGTCAATTACTGGCTAGTTTTTCGGTGTGTTGGTACATAGTTAAAATTTGTTTTACAAGAAATAGAAATTATTTATTTTATAGTTCAAGGAAATTATACATCAACATATTGTGCGAAAGTATATATATATAGTTATATATTGTACACTGCGTGATAAAAAAAATTGTGGCCGTAAGATTAACTTGTAATTCTGTAAAATTAAATCCAAACCAATGAAAAGGCTTGTAAATCATAATAAGAAATTTAAAAGAAAACTTAGTCACATAAGTATTACTGAGATTGCGTCTGAAATTGCATTAAAAATTATGTGCTTTGGTAGTTTATTTACTTACTTCCCAAAGAAGAATTTTGAAGTAATATTATCACAGAGAATTTTATTATTTTGCTCAAACTGAGGACGCTCTGGTATTGGTACCTACACTTCCTGTTTATAATTTTATGACTTGATGGTAACAATACTTGTGACATTGTAGTTAATTGATTTGAATTGATGTTGAATGATATATATAAGGCTAGGAAAAAAATGTGTGTTTCTTGTTACCCGACCAAACTAATTTTTACCCACCGACCCTACTACTTTTTATTCCAAATCCGGATTTTGAACTTCTGTTCACTAGCTTAGTGCAGTGGATAAAATGCATGTCTCAGACAGCGTAAAACTGGTCTATCCAAGCGCATTAAGAAAATACTTGTTTTGTTGTGTATGTTTATTCTCATATATGTATGTATTACAAAAAAAAAAACAATGTAATACCTAATTAACCGATGCTTTTAAGATAAAAAATAATGTTTAACAAAGTCCACGCCTATTTACTTACCCTAGCTTTTGAATTTTCGTCAGTATGTTGAACATATGTTTAAAAAATATGTTGAACATATGTTTAAAATATATGTTGAACATATAGCAGACTCAAAACATATGTTGAACATATGTGTGTGGTAACTATATGTTTAACGTATGTTGAACGAATGTTTGTTTCAAACATATGTTCAACATATGCTTTGAGTTTCACATAAAATTCATACTGAACATTATATAATAACCAATTTCATTTAATATTAAATTAATGTTATCGTTATTTGAATTAATTCTATTTTAATTTAACGAGATAAAAAAAAATATGTTAATTAATTTAATGTTAATATAATCAGTGAACCAGCAATAATTTAATATTAAGCTTAATATGAAAAACACGAGTTATACATGTAGGCCTATGTTATATTTTAACACGTCGGGTGAAGGGGGATCCAGCAAATTTTGAAATGGGGATTTCCAGGTCGGTGCCCCCAACACTCCTGCATAGAATCGCACCATAGGCACTTCAAGCCCATAGCAACGGTTTTCGAAGGGGGTAACCTCCGAACAGAGTTGACAAGCAACCCCCCCCCTCCTTCTGGATTCGCCAATGCAAGTAGACTGTATGTTTAAAAATTAATTTCAATAACAATTATCAAGATCAATTTCTATACTTATTTATTCAAAAGAATGATCATTTTTTGTAGAAGCTTACATAAAAAAGGGGGATGGGTTAACTACTCTGTTACCCTGCACCCCCCCCCCCTCCACTCGTTTCTCCAAATTCAGCCCCCCCCCCCCTCCTTTCTTCAAATCAAAAATTGTCTTCCTGAACATTGTATTCCCCAAATTAAATTTATCAAGAATTAATAAATTTGTATTTTACCACGTTTTATTTGGATTTATTATATGAGTGAAAAAAAAAATCATCCCACATTTTATTTCCTGACCGATTTTGGTGTTTATCGGATGAAAGTGTACGTACGTCATTTTTGACGTCACTGCTGCAGCAGAAGTGTTGGTTGTTGGAAACAAGTAAGTGCTCTCAGATATGTTTTTAGAATTTAGTTTATGGTGTTAAGAGAATTTCTTTAGTGTTGCAGATTCATACGAACTTCTAGTACTCTCGTGACTTGCATAACATCTAACTGTAGTTGTAATTAATGCAGTTCGTAAAAAGACGATAAATCTACACTAGTGATCTTGTCTACGTTATTTTGGATTTGTTTTCGACGAATGTAAAAACCATTTAGCATTTCTAATTTTTCAGATTTGTTTTCCTTTGGTCAGTAGTTACGTTTGGATATTTTTGTCCGATCTTGACATGAAAGTGAAAGTAGAAATCTTGCATAGCAGTTTGTATGTAGCTTATGTTAAGATGGTTATCCATTCGGTTCTTTTATCAAATTATTAATGGAAAATATTTGTTTTTATTATTTATAAAGCAACTGGAGTTCAGTGTCAGACTGCCGTTTTTATTGAAAGAACCCAAAGCTGTTAAGACTGACGATTCAACCCAAAGCTGATTTGACTGAAGATTGCACGATCACATTATACAGGTGAAAATAAATACATATAATAATCACAGTAATTACAGAGTGACTCTTTAGTAATAAAATATTTCTTGAGAAATTTCTTTTTGCTTCTTAATTCTACACTTGTTTACTTTATATGAAAAATTAATCAAACTTTTTTTTTACTGAAATATTGAAGATATTGATATGGATAGAATCTGCTGGCTTTTAAACTATAACATATCTGAAAGATGCTTAATTTCAGCCTAATCTGACATTCAAGATAAAAGTGTAAATGTATTTAAAGTGCATCAGCTAATTTATTACTTATTTATATATTAATTGACATAGAATTTTTTCAACACCAGAGAAACTAGAAACTTGTACTCACTCTCTTTCGAAGTTTCTTTTAAGTTTTGATTGGAATTTGATTAGAAAATATTTATTGTATGAAATATTTATTTTACAATATTTATAGCCCCCCCCCCCCTCCCTGCTATGAATAACATGGAAGGACACTATGACCCTAGGCTTGCTCCAGAATAGGTAAGTAAACCCTGTATTACAAGCTTTGTTTTTCTCTTCCAAACAAAGTTTCGGGATATACTGGAAACAAAATGTATATTTCTCTGCCTGTATTTTTTTAAGTCCAAATATACATTTGTATCTGATTATCCATTTAATATTAATATATTATACTATATTATACTATTTCAACATTCCAAATTCATTTGTAAACATTTAGAAAAACTAATTGTTTTTTATGAATTTATTATTAAGCATATCTTCCAAGAGTGAAATTGTCTTGGAGATAACATTATATGGTGTTATATATGACAAATATCTTCAGTGTATGAACTTAAATTACATGTAGAGTTTAATTTGTATTTCAGAGAACCTGTATTAATCAACAGATCTTAAATTTGCAGTCTCCACTGTAGTGCCACCCAGTACCTTAACATGTGACAAGTTCAAATCCTATGATGAGGTTCCAAGGGGTTGTAAAATGAAAGAAAACAAAGAACAGGCCAAGAAAAAAATTGTAAGTGCTCAAAGTAATTACTCTTTGTGCTAACTAATATATATTTATTATTTATATATTTAATTGACTTCTTAATTTTCATTATTTTTTTTCTTTATCATTTCAGAAGCAATGCAGTCACTGTCAGGGAAATAAAGTCAGAATTATGTAAAAATGTGAAAAAATAAACACAAGATTATAATTTGAGATTGTGTTCTTTGATTTCTTATTATTAAGTGATTAAAGGACAAAAGAACTATTTAGTTAACTTTGCAATCACAAGAAAACAAAGTAATTAAATAATAAATGTAAGTAAGAAATATACTTAACATATATGTTCAACGTATGTTCAACATATGTTAAACATACGTTGCAATCTTACCTGTGTATAATAATTTGCGCATGCGTCATCTCATTCATTCATGGTTTCGCCATATGATGTCATTGGTCGAGTATGGGATATGTATGGGTGTTTGATTTGTTTTTCAATTATTTGCGCATTAATTGCTGGGGCAGATTTTGCTAACTTTCTCATGCAATATTTTTTTTTTAAATCGTTTGAAGAAAATCCTCTGAATACGACAGATGTCAAGTATTTTATATTCATCTATTTCATGATCATTGAATAAATTCATACACTGAAATAACCGGAGTTTTCTTTACCCAAGGCTTTTGAAAAACAACAGTTACACCTATGAAAATAATGACAATAAGATACATTTTTATTAAAGTGAATTGACGAAAAAGGTAATATGAATAAAATAAATAAATCATATAATGAAATAAATCATATATGAATCTATCTCTTTTTTATAAGTTAACTATTTTTTTCTTCCAATAATAATAGTTTTACGTCATAGTTAAATATAATTGAGCAACTGTCTTAACGTTATAGAAAATCCTATTAGCTGTGTAGTCTTTTGTAAACTGAAGCTCAAAATAATTCAGAATAAAATGCAGAGTAGAGAGATTTTTTATTACCAATATATCCGGAAGACAATTAAATATCTATCTATATGCAAGAGTTTTAAAAAGTCACCATGGTGCAAAATTCGTTTACCTCAATTAAAATTAGAATAGATGATGCCAAACAGAGGTCAAAAGACCATCCTCGCTCTAGGTCTGGATAATCTCTCAGAATTAACATACATCCCGCAAAGGCTAGAATACCTAGTACAAGAAAGGGAAAAATCTATCATATATAGTGCTTCAGCCCTCTAGAAAAAAGTTTGTAAAGTTATGAATGTGAATCTTTTTTATATGATATCACTTGTTATATGATATCGCTTGTTAACAAAGACAAAATCAATATCAGAGTCCATGATTTATAAAACCTCTATTTTTACTAAACTACGGAAGCCCTGGAGGAACTTTGCTTGTAATGACTTACTTGTTGTAGCTTTTTTGTTGTGAGTTATTTGTTATGATGTTTTATTTCTGGCTATGACTAAGTGTAATGTAGGTATGGAGAACGTGAATCTTGACTAACGTTTCTTTGAAAATGGTATGTTTAGTCCTAGTTGAACTATGGGTTTTTTTTTTTAAATATAATAATCAATTGTAGTTTAATGTCCAGTACAGTTGTGATTACTTAATTCTTATCTGTTACATCTTGTCACTGAGTTGTTATAACTTAATGGTTATATGTTCATTCTTATTTGTTATTTCTTGTTGCTTAATCGTTTTCTTCTTACTTCTTTTTTGCAACTTCCAGTGTGCATAATGATTAACACATGAACATTACTTCTCAAGGTTTTTTCTTGTCTTGAGATAAAATTCAGAGGCAAAATACTCCTTTCTTTTCTGACACTACACGTAGCCTCCATCTTGTACGTCACGTTTTGGGGTTAAGTAAACGTGTGATAACAAATATGAAATAAAAAGAATTAACAATTACATGTAAGTCCTAAGAACTAAGTCTAAACTCCTAAGAAGTAAGTCAATGTCCCTCCATGAATTCCGTACTAAACAGATTAGTTTCATCTCAACAAATTGTAGCTTTAAATTTTAATTCCTTGATAGAGAAAATTTAAAGAAAATAAATTGCAAAGCTTCATTTTTTTAATTTGAAATGTTTGAATCGTTTCTGAAGCACAATAAATGCTAAAAACTTTATTTGATATATTCATAAAATTGTCCCAGGTATTTTGTTTCTGTCATCATTTAAGCAGTTATTACTGTAATGTTACATGAATCCGTTTCTACACGGTTTTCAAACTCGTTTGTGTATATCTAGATTTCCGAATGACTGAAGTCTACACCAATGCTCTGTTATATAGGTAATTTATTTATATCGTTGTAAATAATTGTTAAAACATTTTGCTTATAATGCTTTTATTTAATAGATTCAGTTTAATCATAATCTATAATTGACAGACTGATCGATGTTTTCGTCTTGGATTTAGTGGAACAATTTTCTATGTTTTCAATTAAGGCTGAACACTACTCATAAATAGGCACCCTCACACAGGTATATAAAAGCTTCGATTTTGTTACACCCGATTGCACACGTGAAACTCGTGACCGACGTGTAGTATTCCTTTCGTGGTCTTAGACTTTGTGCGTTTATTATTTGTTTTTATGTGCATTTTCTGTTTGTAAATAATGCATTGACTTGTATATTTGATGTTATTTTTATCCTGGCTCGAACAAAGTGTGTACGTCTATACTCGTCAGACCTCTACAGCAAAATACCTTGAACTGTTAAGAGTTCTGCGGCTTATATAGGGGTTGTAGGGGATAGCGACGGTAAACGAGAAATAAATTATGGCGAACAATTCATTTTACGAGTAGTGTTCAGCTACATTAAGCTACATTATATATGTATACAAGTTGCTGTCTTTTAAAAAAGGACTGCAATACGTGGACCATATGCATGTGTTTCTAAACGAAATTCAAAGAAAATTTTTAGATTTAGTAATTTTACAAAGATGTAATTGAATTTATTTTTTTTAACATGTATCTTGTAATTTTTATCGTTATTTAAGTCTGCTTATTTAGACTGTAATGATAAAAAAAATCATGACCTTGAAATGATATGAATATGAAATGTTGTATCACAATTGTAATGTAGCCTTTAAAATTAACAACAGAATTAAAAGAGGCTTCAGCGTGCAGGTATCGTTATGGTTGAATTTTAACTACATTGGCGGATCCAAGGGGGGGGGGGTGTTGGAATCCCCTTTATTTTTGCAGAAAGAGGAAGAGACAGAGAGAATTTTTTCTGTAATATAGATATTTTACGTCTAGTATTTTCAATAAAATTAGTACTTCAATCTCTGTCCTTTTTGCTCTTTAGATTGCGTTTTTGCATGCTTATTACTTTCTTCCTTGTACGTAAGATTCGGGCGAACGTAAGGCTAAGCCATTTTTGGACCATCTTCTAAAGTAACTAACTTTAAGAAGTATGCATAAAAAGTCATGAAAGGGAGTATGCATATTTAGAGAATATTTATCTCCTCTCATTATAGGGATATTTTAATCAATGATGAGAAAGGTTCAAAATGTCCCCGTAGTATGTGGGGGAGGGGGGCTCACTTTTTCTTTAAAAAATCTTTTGTTATTTAATTTGAATATATAAGTTTTGATTTGCATTGGAAGCTCCTCCGCACTTTTTGTTGCGGGAAGGTTCAAGATACGGAAAAATCAAACATTTAAAAGAAATCAAAATGTACCGAAAAGTTAGAAGCCCGCCCCCCCCCCCCCCCCGAAATAGGATTTTACAATGTGGTGCATAGGTTGTTATTTTTATTTTATTTATTTATTTTGCTTGTCAACTCTTTTTGGAGGTTGCCCCCTTTGAAAAACCGTTGCTACAGGCTTGAATTTAAGTGCTTGCGGTGTGACCTAGAACCCCCCCCCTTTTCAAAAACTGCTGGATCCGACCCTGTACTGGATCACTAGAGGGTCTCGAGATCTAAAGCGATGTTAAGTTATCGATTAGCTCGATCAATTTATAAACACAAAAAATAATTTTGTGTGTAATTACCTACAATCGTAACTTCTCGGCAAAACAACGTGTTTTTCCGAGATCGCCAGAAAGGTTTGAGAAGATGCGATTAACAGTCTCATCGCACGTGTGTAGACCTAGGCTATTTGGTCTTGCAAGCACAGGTGTGTGCACTATTTGTTAGTGACGCTTAGACTGGTGACAATATTTGCTACGGACATGAAGAACTATACACCAGTTTCATAACATGTGCACTTTTTTTCTAGTGAAAATTTGAGTATCAAGCTATATTTCGATTGCTATCAAATTATTTTGCGAACCTTGATGCACAAAACTAATGCCGGTAAACATGATAAAGACTATCTTTTAAAACCTAATAGTTGAATTAAGTTTTTAATTCAACATGTTCAAGCTGTTAAGCTATCTATATATTAATTTCTTCCTACTTATTCAAAATGTTTGTACCATAGAATTTAGTTTGTATATACGGATAAATGTATAGAAGAGAAATTCGGATCTTGGTTACGCCAAAGAATACATAAATACGATGTACAGATTTTAGAGCGAGGTTTGCCCATGATTGGCATATTCTAATTCGAAAAAGGGCAAGTTATCTTTAGAGGCGAACTCTCTAGCTTTCTCGCGCATGCGTAGCCTGACGTAAGCCCATGGCATCCGGTTTAACCACGCTTATATATTTTCTGCGTGGACCTCAGGGTCCATGCAATAAATTTCAAACTCTAAACCAAAATACACCGCAACAAACATGAACAATGTGTTTGTTTGGTTATTTTTCTATTTAATTATGAAGTTATTTATTTATTTATTTATTTTAGCAAAAGTTTTTCTATGGTATATTCCAGCTTGCACAAAAACAATTTATGTTTTAATTACATTCAAGAGACTACAATTTTCAAATATTCATAGAAAGATTATGGTCATATTTCTAGGGAACATTTCTATAAGATAATTTGAATATTTTTAAAATGGTTCTAAATATATGTCTTATTTGCAGATATAAACATTTTAATGTAACATGATTATAATGTTTAAAGAAATTTTAATTTAAAATTTCTTTCCTATAACAGTGAACATGTTTTTGTCACATTTAAACATCTTTCGAGGAATCATTTTGAACTACACATAATTTTGATTATTTTTTAATATTTCATGTTATGGCATGTTTCCAAACTTTGTCAGGAAATTGTTTTTAACACATTTATCAAATATTTTCTTTTTAAAACTGAAGAATTTGTGAAATATTCTTCAAAAACATTTCAAAGTGTTTAAAAAAAACTTTTCTTTTCCAATATTTCAACATTTTATGCTGTGAAAACGTTTGAAATTGTTGAGCAATATGTTTTCTATTTTAAACACTTAAACCTTTTATTAAGCAATAAACAAATATTAGATTTTTTTTAACCAGTCCATCATATTTTATATATGTGTAATTGTATAACACACCCGTAGACATATATATTTATTTGCTTTAAATACTTCATGCATGAAATGTACACATCCACGATTTATGTGTATGTAAAATCCAAGATCAAGTAAACGAGTTTTGAAAGTCATAGTTCTGGGCCCCGTTTTACAAAAGTACTTACGACTAAGACCAAAAACTTAAGTTCATTGTAAAATTTTGCAAAATTAATGCTTTTGTTCAAATTTGCTAGCGTAAAAATATCTTTCAACATTCCTTTTAAAAAGATTAAAACCATTTTTAATTTAGTGTAAATTAGAAAAGTTACGAGCAGGATTAAATTTTGGTCTAAGTCGTAAGTTGCCCCTGGATCTGTATTATGACGTAATAATTCAAACTCACGTTTTCTGTACTTTATAGCTATCATTAAATTAGGTAGAAAATCAAGCATTTTGGGGCATTCAATTTGAAATAATTTTTAAAAATGGATACCCATATTCAATCTAACACTACTTTATCTTGAAAATGAATCAATTAGTTCTGTACTTAATCCAGATAACCAGCAAAGAACTCAGGATGTTTTCTTAGAAATATAATTTTAAAAATGAAATTGTAGAATCAAGTATATAGGACCTCAGCATTTTTCACAAGCTATACGGATGTTGAAAAAAAAATTAATACTATCTTAGAACTTTAACTTGATTAAGCCCTTACACTATTGAAATTTATAGGTAACTTCAATACTTTTCCTTAAATTACATAGCTGCCACATAAGTTAACAAGATTATACAGAAAATCGTCCTTAATATGTTTCAAATAACCATATAACATTTGTCCGACATAAGTCAAGTACAAAAAAAGAATGGTCATCCTTATTCTAATTTTTATCACATGAATTGCCGATATTTCTTTTGCGAACCTGAACTGTACTGCAATGTTCTGGATTAAAATTTGAAGAGTGTACTACATTTTATTCCAAATAATGATTTTGATGCTTCAATACAGAATGAACATACATAGAAAGCTACACGATTGGCACAAAAAATCTTTACAGTTTACAAAAAGAATAATGTCAAACACCACACTGTAATGGCGAAGTAGCGCTTTTCAGGGAATGTCAGGTAGATAAAATATGAAAGTAATTGAATTAAGGACAAATGATAAAGACGAAAAAAAAGTCGATGTCTGGATTGATATAATTTTTATTTTACCTAATTTGGTTGTAAATGATGCAGATTCAAATTTCTGAAATATTGAAAAAAAAATTGTGAACTTTTTATGATGTACGAAATTCTACTTTTTGTCGTCACCCTGATAAATAGATGCAATTTTTCATCACTTTATTGGACATTATTTTGAAATTTTGAGTATAAAAGCTTACCAAAGCAAAACAATACCTGATATTGGAAATAGTAAAAATACAAGTATGGAACAGCCACCACAAAGTAATAGGAAAGTGTTTTCGGTGTCCTGAAGAGCAAGTCCAAATACCACTGAGAATGGAATTTGAGTGATCATGAAAGCAAACGCTGTGAGTTGAAGATTTACAGTTGATGACTCTAGGCCTGAAATTAAGAATTAAATAAAATTATATATAAATACCTAAGACGTAAACATAGGCGCAAATTGCCCGGAACTAAAAACGAAAGTCATGGGTCTTTCGAATGAGACCTTAAAAACCAAGGTCCCGTGTTAGCCTATAGGCGTTGACATGATAAGGAGCCCTCATAACTCAATTGCCCTGAGTCCGAGTATAGGTCTATATTTGAAGCCCTTCACCACTAGTGACGTCTCTATATGAGTGAAAAATTCTCGAAGGGGGCGTAAAACAACAAACAATCGAACATATTTGTCTTTGCATCTGTATATACCTTTTTGAATTCCATTTAAAAAGGTATTTAATGTACCTTTTTATCTCTACAACGTTTATAATTTCATTTCTCTCATTAGTAGTAGAAGTGTCTAACGTCACTTGTTGGTGTTTATCATGTATCAACTTTTTTACAATTCAAAAGAGAAATCAATGCAATTTCAAAATCTTACCTGTTGTATTTTCAGGACAGTCGACATTGTTTATGATTCCAATAAAACAGTTAGAAGCATTTAATTTTACCCAGTATGGTGACATACTGCCACACGTCTCCATTATGATAGAAGGCAAAAACAGAAAGCTATAAAGGCAGATGTAAACACAACAAATACCGGAATCCATTATGATTTAAAACCTTGAACTATATGACAGCCATGTTCATCTATTCATAAATCAGTCGACAAAGCATGGGTTGATCGTATTTTGTGGATTGGATTTTAAAGGGTGTTGTGCTTGTCGAAGCGAGGAAAAGTTTCAGTTCAAAAAAGGAGAGAGAAAGATATAATGTCATTGGTATCACTGAATAGGTTTTATTTGCCTTAAAATTACAAGGGATATAACACTTATTTTACAATTTAAAATACCTTCTATTCGATCAGTTTAATAGAATATGAAATGTCTATTGCCATTTACAATTGATATAAGTTGCAATGACAATATTTAACGTATAAGCAGATTGTTTTGTATATTATTTTGTTTTGAGTTTCGATGATAGAATTTCATTAAGGGGTTAAAGGGAATCATGCATAATAAATTGTCAACAGAAAATTTATGCTTCAAGATAAGGAATCTAAAAATTTCATGATGTATCAGATTATCATATTATGACTTTCAATTTAATGAAAATGTATTGAAAATGTAGAGCACTTTTAAGATAATCAAACAAGAAGTTAAATCATATGTATGTACGGGTCGCATGTTTAACATGTATGCGATGAAGAGATTTTTCAAAAGTACTCAAAACATTCATTAAAATACATGAACTTGACAACAATTTGTATAGAAAAAAAATTTTCTCTTTGCCTATTTTTTAGCCCTCTCCCAAAATAATTTAGCTTATTTTTTAAACATCAAACCATTTACAGTGTTTTGCTCCTATCTTTCCCTTTTTCAGAGTTTTTGTTGGACCCAAGATTCTAGTTTTGTATTAAATTTTGAGATTTTTTTTCCCTTGCTGTTAGAATTAAGTTATTGTAGCATATTCGTGTTTCTTTTAAAAATCATATTCATGTTCCGTCCTGATTTTTAAAAATAAATTGAAACTCTAAAATCTACTGTAAGTTGTTTTATACCTGGGTCAAAGTTAATTCGATAGTCTGGCGACTGAATTATTCTTAAATCCTCGGCTAAAATATCATGATCGGCTGATACTAGTATTGGGTGATGCGGAGCAGCCTCAATAATTCTTAGGAATACCGATGACTGTAAAGGTTTAAATATTTATTAGTCGGCCAACCGTCACCCGATCATCGAGTGCTGAAGCAGTTTGATTTTCACCGTCTGCCGACATTTATTAAAACCAAATACCTAAATGTCGACCGACCGACGACCGACTTTACAAACTGTCTGCTTATGTCCGGACGCTGATCAAAGGTTGCTCGATGGACTATTCAAAGTCTGCTTCAATTGAAGAAATCGGCCATCGACGCAAAAAAATATAACTGGGTCCGACGTGCACAAAATTTGTCGGTCACAAGCGGGCAAGAACTGCCGACTATCGCCCGAAGAATCCCATTTTTGAATCCGAAAAGGTCGGGATTTGGGTTTTTTTGTTTTGTTTTGTTTTGGGTTTTTTTTTTTTTTTTTTTTTTTTTTTTTGGAAGAAAGGTGACTGAGGTTTTAGGAACCAGTTCTTCTGCAAGACGTATGACGACACTAGAATTTCGGTTAGTAAATAATTAATCCTAATTAATACTTCTCTTAACAAATTGTTTAGATTTCTGTATTCTTTCTTAAATCCAAAATGATGTTCAAATCTACATAATAGGTTGGTTAAGGGACTTTTAGTTTTGTGCTAGACACTTAAAGACGTACATGTAATACGGAAATATATTGGGTCCTTGAATAAATGCATACTGGTCGAGGAGTATCAATTGGTATATTGATTTGATATCTAGTCAGTAGGTACATTGAGGGACACACTAACAACATAATATCAATAGAGAGCATGATTTTGTTCTGTGCAGTGTTCTTGACCAATGACATTTCAAAATTTGTATAAGACGCAAGGTAAAGTAAATGATATATATAAATCATATTCAGAAAATGCTTGGGCAAAAACTAAGCAAAACTAAGCAATTTCAAATGATATAGCATCTTGATTGTTTAGTATTTTGATGTTTTGGGTTGAACTTTTTCTCTGAAATTTTGACAGTCATCAAGATCAAACGTCCATTTTAAACAATACATATTTGGAGCAGAGATAAAACAAGGACCTCTAAAAACATGGATGGTAGGATCATTTGCCATGAAGGAGTAAGTATCCCTGCCGACAGGTCACACTCGCCATATACTCCTTATCATGGTCGCGCGAACGGAAAAATCCGTAGACAATTCAGTGAAAAAAGGCCTTACAATTTGTATGAAAAACGCCATTCAACATTTGCCATAACGATAGATTGTATTTACTGACAAAGTCATTGTTTCAAGCATAGAATTTGCAAAATATATCAATACATAAGTGACTTATTAGTAAATAATCAATTCATTTATTAGTCAACTTTGAATTGTTCCGTTTTACATTTCAATAGCAAAAATATGAACATATATATTTTGTTGAGTCATTTTAAAAACTTGTTACCAAAACGACATGAAAAGTGGAGATAACATTGATATCACAAAATAGTGTAAGAGTCATACTTCCAAATGCAATATTGATTTATTGATTGACTCTGTAAGATGCCATTGCAGCCACTGCGGCTTTTCTTTCATTTTCTCTGTGATGTACGGTTTTTTGCTTTTAAATTTTCCCTGCTACCTGCATTTAAAATTCCTGTAAAAAGTTTCTTGTACCCTCTTCTGTACATGAGTCAGACATTTAGTACATTAAGTTGTTCAATGATGCTACAAGTAAAGCAGACGACACATATGTCCTTGGAACAGCCTAGTATGATATAAATACAGGCCATGGTCAATACAGTGAGGTATTTTGTAAATCTTTGAATATAATTATTAATTTTGCTTGATTGGTAACAGATTTTTTTTTTTTGGATTTTTTTTTTTTCTTAAATTGCTTATTTCACTATCGTGTGACGTCATGCTGATATTCCCGTGCTCGGAAAATAGGAAAACATGAAGTCTTCCCATCATTCTTTTGTCTTGTCCATCGGTAGCGTGTGCAATATTTAAGTAGTTCAACCTTATTGCTACAGTTTTCAATAAAATGAAGGTCCTTTGTTCAATTGTAAATATTATTAAAACATGAATGATATTTTTTTTTTCCAAACTCAGTTTTTACTTCCACTGGTCAGAAACGAGAAGAGCTTAGTAAGATGTTTGTCTATCTGCCCAAGTGTCTGTCCATCCAAAACCAATTTTTCAAAGCGTTACTCCTCCTACAGCCTTTGTCCTATTCAAATAAGACTTAGTACATCGGTAGGCTATAATAAGATAAATGTACATAATCTATTTAACGGTGTTTGATTTTTATGAGCGGTGTTACCTAAATAAGAAATTTCTGTGGAACTCTTTCAGAACGCTACTCCTCTTAGGTGCTCGTCCACTTTCAATATGACTGAAGAAGACTATATACTAAAATACATAAATTCTGTGGAAAGCATTTTGATTAACTATGTTGCCATGGTTACTACAATAGAAAATTCTGTATTTTTGTTTTCAAAATGCTACTACTACATTGTTGGTCCAATTTTAATAAGACAAGTTACACAAGTAGATTATTCTAAAATACATAATGAAATATGTTGATTTTAGATTTAAAAGAAAAGAATTGCCATTTTCACTAAAAATAGACACTTCTGTGATTTTTTTTTTTCAAAACGATGCTGCTTCTATAGTTTTTGTCCGATTTCAATAGAACTTGATGCACAGGTAGACTGTAGAAAGACTCATAATACTAGTTGTATATCAGTCTTTGATATTGACAACGAGTGATTTCAAAAAGAGAACGATTTTTTTTTTGTAAAAATGCAACTTCTATGGGGTTTTTTTTTTTTCATATATAAAAACTTTGTACAAATTAGACAATTAGATGTTTGGGCCGATTGAATAGGTACAGTTAGACTACTGTAAGAATAAGATACATAGTTCTGCATGTCTCTGTGGTTTTCCTGATGAACATTGTTGCATTCTTTACTATTTAAGGAATGAATTTAATAGCTACCCAAGGTATACTGGTATAACCTGGGTTGGGGCAGTTTACGCTTTATAAACCGCGAAGCGATTTATAAAAAACGTAAACTGTTCCAACCCAGGTTATACTAGTATAAATTGGGTAGCATTAAATCCATTCCTTATAATTTAATTTTCCATCATTAAGTGTAAAAAATAAGACAATTTCTCCTTCAAAAATGCCTTCAAATTGTACGTATTTTAAATGTAACGTCAAGCGGATTGATACGTTTTTTGTCGTAAGTCATTGTGAAGTAGGCAACCCAGGTTAAACGCTATATTCTAATTTTTTTATCCAATCAAATGACACGTTACAACCAAAATTAAATTATTAAAGGATAATGTCAAAATATTGTTTTTCCAAATGCTCCCTTTCTTTTTTTTCTGAATTTATATTAAATCTTGGTACAAAAGATATCTTAACCAAGGATCCTAATTTTATGTGTTGATGTTGCTTCAGCTTCGAAATTTGAAGTCCAGATGCTGCTTTCTTTCTATTACGAAAAAACAGCAGAACTACAGTCTTATGAGAGACTGCTGGTGTGTTGTTTATTAATTTATTTCGAAATGTACGTACGTTAAATCCCATCCAAATTCAAAGTGGAATAGAAAACTTCCTTTGAAAATTTTAAACTCAAAATTCATTTTCTGAAAACTATGAAAAAGATACATAGCCACATGCATTTCTTTAATCTATGCTAATATATTCCCATTTATAGACCCGTAAACTTCATGCGGACACAGTAGAAAGCAATATTTTTCTATATACAAAAGAAGTCTGACCATTGTTTTACTTTAAGATATGTAGTAAATAATGAATTTATTTATTAATATACAAATTTTGAAAAATAAAACGAATGAATAAATTTCTTCATGTCAAGGTCATTCTCCTTAAAACCAAGGACAAACTCTTTAAAAAAACATTTGATATGTCAAGTAGATTTTTATGCTGAGAAATATGACAGCTGAACTTCTGTTTTCAGTGCCTTTCTGCAAAAAATACTGCCTTAACTGTAAGCGTTTTGACGTTTCTGCATTTAATAATTTTATCTACTTTATGAAAGTACTTTTGTCCATGAAGTTACCTGTTGCTACAATTTTACTGTGCAATGACCTCGGAACAATGAGTATATAAGGTTTGTAAAGATAGCTTTCAATGCGAAATATCCTCTGTAAAAATCCATCAGTTGCAAGCTAGGTTTTAAATTTTATTCCTAAGATTTGAATATAAACCAGGCAATTGCAACATACGATGTGACTACATGATCACATAAAAGGTATTTATAGTTTTTTAAGTGTTGCATAAAAATTCCAAGTACTTAATTCAGTTAAAATTTTCTTAGGTATATAAACCCAACACATCCATTTTTTTCTATTAAGGAGGATGGATCTTGCAAATGTCAAAAAAAATTGTCGGGTACATTTTTGTATGTACATACATAGCGTAATTAAAAACTAAAATAAAATGTGGGGATCAATACGCTTCATTTGGAGCTACGCATCATCAATTATGACCTTTTGCACTGTAATTGCGTGAAATATGGAGAGAACGAACAGTATTCAAGCTTATTGTCCATGTAAACAATAGAAATTGGGAGCAGAGCAAATATGGACTCCAGAAACATCAGAGGCGGAATCAGGTGCCATTGAGGAGTAAGCATACCTTTCACACCCGCCGTGTGTCTTGTCATGATAGAGTAAACGGAACAATCCGTAGAAGTTTCAGTGTGTAAATAATAGCCTAATAATTAGTATGAACGACATCAGTCAGTATTTGACCTAATGATAGATTGTATTTGCTGATAAGGTCTTTGTATCGACCATAAAACTTGCGAAATGATGACTTCAAACGAGACTGTTGATCAACTTGTTGGTCAATAACTTGCCTCGTTTTAAAAATTGATAGTACTTAGAGCATGCTCTTGCGTAACGATTGAAGATAAACTCCATATTCAGATTATTAGGGTATTTTGATAAATAAATAAGGTAAGTTGACGATTGAAACGTTGAGGTCCTTATATTTATTATAGTTTTGTTGTTAGGTTACCATTAACGTCTTTTCTAGTAAAATGTCTAAATATGAAAGAGATGTGTCAGACTCTGTGGTGTCTTATACTTCAAGTTCATTGGGATATATTGAATCGACAAATGAATTGGAGTAACTGTAGTTAATTGATAATACGTCGTCGATTATATGTAAATGTCGAGTTGAAGACCAAAGCAAGCGGTTTCTTCTTCTCATGTAGAAGTTTTTAAATAAACTATGTTTCACTTGAATACAAAAATATGTTTTCTGCTAATAACGGGGCGCAATTGGTACTCATGGGAATTTGAAAAGATTGTTTGCAGATTTGCAAACTATACATAGGTATTGTCAATCTGAAACTCATGCAACTTTTATTATCAACTTCAGAGTACTTGTTTGTACAATCAGAATTTTTTTTAGCAAAATAATTTTGCAAATAACCAATGACAAAGTAAGTATATATTTCAAGTTCCATTTTTATTGAAAAAGCAGCTGTCTATGATATAAAGTCAAAAGGCCTGCACTCTAATTTATCGTTTTGATGGTTTTGGTTTAGGTAAAATTTTGTGATTTCAAATTTTCTTAAAGTTCCTTGTCTGACAAATAAATACTATTTTCGATGTTTTCCTCCAAAATGTAATAATAAATCTTGGGACCAAATACAGTCTTTTTTTTGTCTTGAATAGACACATTAAAATTTGTGACAACGAAAAAATTTCAAACCTCTTCTCATAGTCAATTCTATGACCGTTCTGCACTCAAAATATGTCATTTTAATTCAACAAGCAAATTGAATCATTTTTTTTTAAAAAGACTTACGCTTTTACTGAATTGAAACAGAATGGTCGAAGTAATATTATATATTCAGAAAAGAAAATTAAAAGTGGGGGTTAATAATGTAAAGTTTTAGATATTACTAAAATTGTTAATATTAAGCTAACATTTGGGCTATTTTGCTTAGGATTTTCACAATATATTTGCCATCAATGCGATGATAAAATTCATAATATTTAATTTAATAAATAATTCGGGACCATCATATACCATTTCACTGCACAAAGTAACTCTGTGTTCACTACTTCACCCCTATGACATTTTTAGCAGCTTTAGCTCCCACTGTAATTGCCACTTGAGCGAATCTCATTATGCTGTATCCATGAGTGTTGGACTGTGTTTGTGCTTCAGCATCTTTATTGTTATCCTTTGCTTCGAAAGCCTCTTCAGATTTCCCGTCAGATTTAGTTTTTGAGGATCCTATTACCCTAATAAAAGCCATAGTTATGATAATCTGGAAAGAAGAAAATAACTCTTTATTCTTAAAGTAAAATAAAACCTAGTCAATTTATTTACTTTTAAAAATTGTCATTTTATATTGCCCCATAAGCCTGCTTAAATCATTTGATGTAATATCCCTGTCTCTGGAACTCGCACCGTATGCACATAAAAATTAAGAGAGAAAATTGAATTAAATTTACTTCAGTAATAATGTTAAAAATTCTGTAGTCAGTTTATAAGGAGATATAACTTTACGTATTGTTTAAAGCGACAGAATGAGTCAAAACTCGTGTTCTTTAATGATATTTGTATTTTAAAGCAAAAGATTTATAACAATATGAGTATAGAGAAATTTTGACAAACACAACTGCAAATTAAAGCAAGCAAAGAGTGCAGCATAAGTGCCGGAAAAGCAGAGGTCGTATCTAACATATCGTAGTTATCGTTCATGTCAAGGTCAAGTCACTCTTACTTATAGCGTAAAACATGCAAAGGTTAGGAATATGTTCTGATTATTTCTTTTCACAGAGGATATTACATTTGTGGCGGGTGTGACCGGTCGTCAGGGGATGCCCACTCCTAAATCTACCTCTGATGTTTTAAGGGTGTCACAACAGTATTTCAATTGAAGTTCACGTCAAACCATGGCGGACGCAAAATAATTCCTGAATCTCCCCTCCCAATTCGGACATTTTGGCATGAAACTGGATCTTAAGTATTTTATGAGATGAAAATTATATGTAATCTTCCTGTATTAACCAGATTCATTATAATTGAAGGCATGCTGATTTTTCTTTATACTGTATTTGAGTGGGGAATGATTAGGTCGTGAACTTAATTCTCAAGCACCTGTTCCACTTCGACCGAAACAAACATGCGTGCCTTGCTGGATGGTTATGTATTTTTTGGTACTAAAATCTATATAAAGAATTTTTTTACAAGATTTGAAATTTTGTTTTAAATAAAGACCACCTACTGAAAGTTGCGCATTTTTGGTAAGAATGTATAGCAAAATTTAATACTGTTGTGCAACCTAGTGGTCCGTGTTTGCTCTGTTCCTGATTTGCATTGTTCGAATGGAAGGGACTTCTGAGCTTGAAAACTGTTGTTATCTCCATATCTCATTTGGCTGTGTATTCTATTCCGCATCCTTGTGGAAAGCAATTATAACTAGTCTTTAAAAGATGTCCACTGTTATATAACTAAATAGCTAGAATGACTTTAATCTTGTACCATGCAGATGACTTATAAAGACTCTCCTATTCGATGTTGATTATATCATAATAAAGTATTTTTTAAATTAAGATTTTGAGAAAAGAGCTTCAGCTAATAAATACATTTACACTGATTATTGTTTTGTATAAAACAACTTATCACTAGCACATTTAGAATGCGTTTAATCAAATCTACATTCATTAACTCGTTGAAAAAAATTAATATCTGCCCATACATGCATGCAACATAAAAACACATAACAGAAAGTTTTACAAGTATACAATATGAAAATACTCTAAACGTACGGGGTCATAATACAACGGAATTACAATTTCTGTTCAAACAAAGTACAAAATTACACGGGTTTTTTGAATTCTCATTAGATGTCCTGAATAAATTTTAGTTACGCTGGGAAAAATTTTGCGGAAAAATTGTGATAACGTACATAGCGGAAATTAATCCAACGCCAAAAAAATATGTCTACAGTACACCTGACATTTACATTTTATCATTATAAACTAAAACTTAAAACTTTAGCTATCCGAAATTCCTTGGAAATGAATGGTCTGTGAATAAAATTTAATTTAAAAAAAATAGATTTGAGTTTAATCTTTGAAAAATGCTAGGTAAACCTGTCAGTCCTTTTAATCGAACAGATGTGTCTTTAAACCGAATGTCAAAACTGTTAAAGAATTATCACAAATGGTATACAAATTGCAGATCCTGGCTACTTTTGTTAGTGTTAGTTTAGAGCTATTTTACAAGAAAAGAAATGTTTAAAAAATGAATTAAAATAAACAAATAATAAAATTAATATTTAACTTTTTTACCCTTATATAAAGTAACATAACTCATCAACTCATGCAAAAATTATTTTACCTCAATTAAAATTAAAATAGATGATGCCAAACAGAGGTCAAAGGACCATCCTCTCTCAAAGTCTGGGTAATCTCTCAGAATTAATATACATCCCGCAAAGGCAAGGATACCTTGTACAAAAATGGAATTTAAATCTTTCAGAATATATAAGGTCTCTAGAAGATGTTATCGATGGTTATCAAAGGTTAACTACGAAGTTGAATCTTTTTTGTCATATTATATCATGCGTTGAAAAATACAAAGTAACAAAACCAAAATCTATATCAGATAATTGATTTGTATTCTATCTATTTCAATTTTAATTTTTTGATTAAAAATGATCAGAACAATTTAAAAAGCAATAGATCTTTGATCTGAATTGATTGAAATATTTTTAAAATACAAATAAAAACGTTCAAAACATTATTTGATATATTCAGAATTGTCACACATGCTTCATTTCAGTCATTTTCCACTAGAATGGATTACAATATAAAGAAGTGACCGAGAGAAATAAGTAGAGGATTTTGAAGAATAGTGTCTGCGGTGCTTATGATTGAGGCACGTTAATGAATATTGGCTTGAATTGGCGTAAAAATGCAAAAGATTGTTAATCAAGATGAATTAAAATGAATGGTGACTAACAACCCCCATGGATTCGAAAATGCAAGTAAGTTGTATTTAAAAAATGATAATTGTTTTGATTTTTGCTAAGACTAAAACTGAATGCATTAAGTCCTTTAAAATTTACGTAATAAAACATTTGGTGTGGAATAATTATTTTTTTTTATTTCAAAAACATATACAAGTTAGGATTGATAAGCAAAGTTCATCTATAATATCATCCTTGTATTTAAAGATGTTGTACATGAACTACTTTTCACGTATTTCAACCAATTTGACTTCTTGGCTAGAGAAAGAAAATTAATACTTATCATTATCACTTATAGTTGTATTACTATTATGATATATTGGAATAGTGATAGACACAGCACATTATTGACATCCTTGCCATTTGTGAGCTATATTGAACTGACTTCAGACTGAATCTTTTATTTTCTCATAATTTTCTCAAATAACTCTTGCTCGAAAATACACATTTCTACACAATCCTCAACAAGTTCTTGCAAGCTAAATACACAGTTTACATGGAAAGTCGCATTTTTTACATTAAACGATGCATGCACGATTGCAAGCTTAAAAGGGGAAAGTAGAGCGTTTCGAGATCATTACATCACAGAATATAAAAGTAATAGAATGCAACGTCCTTTACATATGTTACCAAAGGTACCATTATTGTTATTTCTTAGAAAGCTTTACTTACAATCAATTTTAGTTCATTTTTTTTTTCAAAAACACAGCATAAAAGTATTTATCAAATGATATATCACGTCTCTATATGAGTGATAAATTCTTGAATGGGACGTAAAACAACATAAAATCAATCAATCAAATGATATATAAAAGCTGACGTCTTTCATGTATGAAAAAATACCTGAAATTGGATATAAAACCAAGAACAAAAGTAGAGAACAGCCACCACAAAACATTATGAAATCGGTTTCTTTTAGTTGGAAAGCGATTCCAACTGTCAGTGAGAATGGGATTTGAGCCACCGTGAAAGCAAATGCTGTGAGTTGAAGATTTACGATTGATGATCCTAGTCCTGAAAAATATAATTCCGTCATAAGAAAATACAAAAGCAAAATGCTTTTATTTAAAGCTATTTTTGGTATTTCAGTTCTTGCTTTACTTTGAACAATTCAAAATAAAATCTTTTGGTTGAGTCCATAAAATACTTAGAAACGACACGGGTTAGCGTGTGCAGCATTTTCTTGTGTGTGTTTGTTATAATTTGGCATGTAAACCTAACAAAAGGCACATTTTTATGACAATTTAGGCAAAAAGAGGTAACCGGTTCTTATAGTAATAAAACTGCAAGATGTAGTGTTGGATTCGTTCTTTTATTCCATGGAGATATTTAAACAATGTAAAGATGATCTAACTTTTTTTTTTAGATATTTAGATGATTTTTTATACATAAACTCTACAATATCAATGACAACATACAAGAACATGGTCAGTGTATAGACAAGTGTCTTCTTTTTACACCAAAATTTAAACATAAAACATTCATTTAGGTCATTACGTAACAATTTATAGAAACGCGTTCAAACAATGATAGGTCTTTGAAACTCTTATATTGAATTGATTATATAAACAATACTTCTCTATCTTGAAATACAATATTTTGAGAATACAAAGAGTTTAATATATCATGCAGCGTATAGAAATGAGTGATCTTCCTCTAAGAATGCCCTTTATAGCTATTTACATGAATACCTAATAAATAAGTTGATTATAATTCAAGGTCGTATTTTCTTTTCAAAGGTCTGTATGAATTAGATTAAAACACATCTTGCTACTACTTTACAGTACTAATCTCAACGTGATATCTTAAATAACCTTAAATCTTTCAATCTAGCACATTCACATTCGCTTAGCAAGATAAAAGTAAAATACTTTTACTCATTTATTATCATTAAATAAGTTTATTGTTATCATTAATTGGACAATACTCTTATTCATAAAGGATTAACTTACAGAAACGGGTGTTTAAGAATCCAGAATAAATGTAGACGCTTTCAGAACACAGATACACCCATCTAAGAAAAGATCTACGAATAGTGTAGTAACAAGTAGTTTCCCGCCAAAATGGACATCACTGAATAGACAATACAGTAATACCAATTGACTTAATAGCAAGGAAATGGACGATACTCTTATTTATCATTTATATATAGATTGATCCCTAGATCCACCTTAAAGAGGCTGGGGGGGGTTGTGGCCATTTTTAGACTATATTGATCTCCTTTAGAAGAAGAGCTCCATATGAAGATATAGAAAATGATCAAATTTGAAAACTAAAATTTTTGAAATTTTTCTTTGCCAAATGATAGTTGACAGCTTAAGATATCATATCTAAAAAATTAAGTTAAATCTGGTGGTTAATTTGTGGTTAATTTGTTGACCCCCCAGCCTCCTTAACCTATATTCTTTGGGTTAAACCATTATTCATTCCTTAATGTTTTATATTTGGATATTTTACTAGAAAAAGAGGTTAATGGTAACCTAACACCGAAACTTTGTGATAAACATGATGAATTTACCTTTTCTATCGTCAACTTCCCATTTTTATGTAGCAATATACCTTCATCACCTGCATATGGAGTTTATATCTCCCAGTTGATTCGATACGCATGAGCATGCTCTACGTATGAACAATTTCTAAAACGAGGCAAGCTTTTGACAAACAAATTGATGAAACAGAATATCAACGGTCTTGTTTTAAATCAACATTTCGCAAGTTCTACGGTCGATACAATGACCTTATTAGCAAATACAATCTATCATTAAGTCGAATGCTGACTTACTTTTTTTCAAACTACTCAATGAATGAAGGATATGTCTACTATAGAAATATACACTTACATGTATTAAAATAAAATACAGTGAAACTTCTTCAACCCCAACCCCACTCCTCCCCCACCCCGCAATCCGGTTCTCCTTAAACTTCGGCCGAAATTGTATGTCCATGCAAAATTCTTAACATTTCTTTACAAACTACACAGTAATTCTCATAAAACTCACCACCCTTGAAAACTGAACACATGCCATTTTTTCTAGAACAAAAGGTACTAAGAAACATAAATATTTTTTTCCCATATCATACAGGCCACTTTTTTAACAAAATTGCAAGAACCATTAGTGTCATTGGCCAGAAGGGTTAATAATGACAGGAAAGAGGTATGAAAAATACCAAACAGATGACAGAAGTGTGAAAAACTGCAAACGGACTCTTGGGGTTTTTTTTTATTGTTTACCTGTACATGTGGTGTGAAGGGGTAGTCATCATGCGAGACTAAATGGAAGGCCTTATTTGTGTAAACACAAGTAAGTACATGAATTAGTAAGATATCAAACAACTTTTGGAAAAAAAAATACTAAATACATAATGAATAACAAAATATCGAACACCATGTTGTATCATATTTTGATGAAAACAAAAGTGGCCTTATAATTGGGTACTGAATAAAAACAAAAGCTGGAAAAAAAAATCAATAATGATTGCTGAAATATAAATTTTATGATTAAAGATCCCTCACTAAATTTGAAGCCCTACACCGGTATTTGGTGAGGTTTCTATATATACGTGAAAATTTCTGGAATGTAAAACAACAAACAATCAATCAATAAGCCATAAACAATATATTCAAACTGTAATTCTGCAAGTACTGTAACTCTGTAATTTTTCAGTATGCCATTTTTTCGGTAAACCGGCCATTCCTATTATCTGGCCATTTTATACAGTTTGGCAGCAGTTTAGAGAAGATTTACTGTATAAAACTAGTAAGTACAGCTAACACATACATGGTTTAATAAAATGTTTATACTATATATTGTGTATTAAAGTTTAATTGTCAAAATGATTATTATTAATATAGAAATAGAAAGTCTTGCACGTTTTCATGAATGTCATTAAATGGCATTAGGGTGTATAAAATGCTGAGAGGAGATAAACTATCATATTGACATTAACCTTTTTCATCCCGATCCATTGTTTAGATTTACGTGCACTAGAGAATGAGTATCTTATAAAAGCTAGTTTTTTAAGACTGATTAGTGTCCAGATGGAACTACGTTAGTCACTAAGATGGAAAAAAAATGGAAATGTTTATCTTTGTTCAAAATTTGCGCTCAAAAATATAGGACTTCAGATGTAATAATTGTTTTGAATTGTTTAGCACATTTAGATTATATATCTTGTTTGCAATGAAATATGAAAAATACTAAACCTATAAAACCCATAAGAACAATACAATTTGGAAGCAGAGCAAAACAGAGCTTGCAGGTGTGTAAAGGAAACAGTCAGATATTTCCGACTTTAATAAATCAGTGATATAATATGACGTGAAAGTAGGCGAGATGATATCAATTTTAGAACTTGATTCCTCATATTGGTATTTAGAAAGGTAATTAAACTCCAGAAAATTAACAGAAAATGCATATCTTTACAAAAATAAAATGTTTTTATTTTGTTATACTGTATCTGTCACTTGAATTAAAAACTCCGACCGATGACTTCATAACTATTCAGCAAATAACCTGAGACTTGAACGAAGTGTAATGATGAGATTTTGGCTAAGAGGGCGTGTAAGAATATACATAAAAGGGGGGTTAGAAGTAAATACAAGACTGCTCAATAATATAGATATTCCGGTATATTGCGGTTGGTTGACAAAAATTACCGTATTGCGATACGTTCTTTCAATACCGATATATTTACTGGCAAAATGTTTAGGCATGGAATTTATAATGGAAAATATGAAAGTTAAAATGTCAGAAACGTTTTTATTCGTGCCAAACAGTAAAGGTTGCCTTTGTTTTTCGGTGAAAAAAAGTGTATTTAAGGAGTCAGATTATACAGACAAAAAAAAATCGGTATATATTTTGGACCTATTTTGGTCGTAAATGATTTGAGTATCAAATTTCCAAAATATTAAAACATTGAAAACTATCTACGATGTTCAAAATTCTAAATTTCGGCAATCATTCACTATCAACTTTTTGTCACTTTAATTCTCAATATTGTGAAACTTTGATTAAAAACTAAAATCTAAGCAGTATTTCGTATTCATTTTACTTATATGAATTTTAGGTCACCTGAGTCACTCAGGTGACCTGTTGCCATCTGTTTTTGTCCGTCGTCGTCCGTCGTGCGTCGTCCGTCGTCAGTCGTCCGTCGGTCGTAAACCTTTGAACATTTTCAGCTTCTTCTCTTGAACCACTGAACCAATTTCAACCAATTCTGGCATATAGCATCAATGGGTGAAGGGGTACAAAAATTGTGAATTTCATGGTCCCTGTCCCCCTGGGGCCTGAGGGGTGGGGCTAAAACCATCAAAATTAGTGCTATCTTTAAAAATCTTCTTCTTTACTCCTGGACATCAAGCAGTCAAACTGTTGGCATGATTGTAATAAGCATTGAGCCCTATACCGAATTGTGAAATTCATGGCCCCAGGGTCAGGGGTTCTTGTGCTAGGGCGGGGTTATATAGATCATATAGTGAAAGTGCATTATTTCTTTGAAAATCTTCTTCTCTACTCCTGGGTATTATTTAAACAAATTATATACATAGTTATGATAAGCAAGGATGTCTCTTCCAGAATTGTGAAATTCATGGCCCAAGGATCAGGGGTTCTGGTGTTAGGGTGGGGCCATATAGATCCTATAGTGAAAGTGAATTATTTCTTTGAAATTCTTCTTCTCTGCCCCTGGGTATTATTTAAACAAATTAAATACATAGTTATGATAAGCAAGAGTGACTCTACCAAAATTGTGAAATTCATAGCCCCAGCGTCAGGGGTACTGGTGCTAGGGCAGGGCTATATAGATCATATAGTGAAAGAGCATTATTTCTTTGGAAATCTTCTTCTCTACTCCTAGGTATTATTTAAACAAATTAAATACATAGTTATGATAAGCAAGGATGCCTCTACCAAAATTGTGAAATTCATGGCCCAAGGATCAGGGGTTCTGGTGTTAAGGTAGGGCTATATAGATCCTATAGTGAAGGTGAGTTATTTCTTTGAAAATCTTATCTGCCCCTGGGTATTCTTTAAACAAATTAAGTACATTGTTATGATGCTTCTTCCAAAATTGTGAATTTCATGGCCCCAGGGTCAAGGGTTCTGGTAAAAAGAGGGGGGGGGGGGTCTATTGATTATATGGTGAAAAAGCAAAATTTCTTTGAAAATATTCTTTTCTGCTCCTGGTTAAAAAGCAGAGAAGCTAAATGTATAGTTATGATGAGCAAGAGTGCTTCTTCCAGAGTAGTGAATTGCATGACCCCTGGGTCAGATGTGCTGGTGTAAGGGTGGGGCTCTTGATAATATAGTGAAAATGCATTAATTCTATTAAATAATCCTGTCTACTCTTAGTGTTTAGCAGATAAACAAAGTGATTACTTATGATGAGCAAGCTTCTGGTCCCAGGGTGAGAGGATCTGGTGTTTCTCGCTGGGGAGGGGGGGGGGGGCTCTATTGATAATATAGTGAATCTGTAATAAAAATGCATTATTTCTTTAAAAATCTTCTCTGCACCTGGGCATATCAGAGGCAAAAAGAGTAAAAGTTTTAATAAGGAAGAGTATTTTTACCAGATTTTTTAACATCTGGACCATTTGGTCAAGTGTTCTGGTCCTGGCCAGGGCTCTATTAATTTATATTCTACTGAGAGCAGTAATTCCCCTTTGCCATTTACTTTTGATAATTAATCACTGTAAATAATGCACTTGAAAGGTTAATAGAATGAGAGAATTATGCAAGAATTTTTGTTGTATAATACAAAAAGTACTTTCATAGTTTTAATGATCAGGTATACTTGTAAGTAATAGATAAATAAAAATGAGACAGAAATAACTTGTCTTTTTAAATGTTCATCAAAGACCAAGAGAAGCCAATGTAAGAGATTTCAACAAGGAATTAAATAGTACAGAAGCACTGATAGTGATAAATGGGGAACAGATTAGAATCTAATTTATGAACTGTTAATGAATACTAGACTTATTATTTTGTTGATCCTGATCACCCTCTATTTCTTGCTTTTGGGCAACAAAGCTTCACCTTTCAGTTCATTTTATACTCTATGGATCCTCTAAATTGTTGTATTATACTCAGGTGACCGTTAAGGCCCTTGGGCCTCTTGTTGATGAAAGGTTTTATGTATCAATGTCCTTAAATCAACAAGAACTTTTTTGTTACAAGGTATTTTCATAGTTATATACATTTTGCTTATAAAAGGAGGTTAAATATCGCATTACATCTCAGTATGAAATTCCTCGCCGATACCCAGCCATAGAAAATTCCGTGAATATTGTGTGACTCACATGGATTTAAACTTTGTTAAACAGGTATGCTGATCTATTTTCATCGATTATATTTTCTGTTGAAGACAGTTAGCTAATTACGTATCCCTGTCGGCCTTTCCTCTGTCATTCGTGACAAAATAATGCAAAAAAACAGCACTAAGCCGGAAACTTCGAAAGGGAATATTTGTATTGATCGAAAGCTTGCATTCTATAATACTTGGAAAGTGCTGCTAGAATCGTGAGCTTAATATAATTTGAAGAAATATCTCGGATTATATGTATATAATGCAAAACATTGGTTAAGGTTTTGTGCGAATGTGTGGAATAATAATTTTCCTGACCGGACAGTAGGATTTTAGCGGCACTTTTTAGGCATTGGAGATGTTTTTCAGCTACATGTACATGTATATTATTTACTCAAAGAAATTATCAAACCCTGGAGTAGGTTTGTCCTGTTAATTTTTTATTAGGAATATTTTTCTCTTAATAGCAGTCTCGTGATGACGTCGAAGTGGTGCACTTCTTGATCTCAGACACTCTGTTGTCTTTATGCAATAGTTAATAATAGTTTACCTTTTATCGTCAGCTTTGATAATTTATTAAACTTGAATTTCTTTAAAAAAACTAAATTTCCCAAGGAATGATTTGAATGTTTTCTTAACATACCCGTGCACTACAAACATCAAAGGTGGGATCGATCAGGTGCCATGAAGGAGCAAGCATTCCCTAGCCCACAGTGTGCACTTATCGCTGGGTACGCGGGTATGTTAAGGCTACACCCAGAGATATCCTACTTGCCTTTACAATATGACGTCATAGTAAGCTGTATGACGTGATCTTTAGAAAAAATGATTTCTTAATATCTATATTTAAAGTTTAATTTCAGATCGAAGAAATGAATGGAATCATTCAAAAACATAATATAAACTAAATCTTGTCGTTTTTGGGTGGTATTAATAGCTAAGTATTTATCACGAGGGTTAAATACTAAATCCATGACGTCATAACTATTGATCAAATATTTGCCGAGGGAAAATGAAACGTGACGAGAATTCATGTAAACAAATATATGAAATTGGAGTTTTAAAGCATATACATTGAATGTTATGTATGATTCATAGGGAGTTAAAGATTAAGAATCAGGTACGCTGATATATTCTTATCATGTTTTCTTATAACGAACAGAGACAGTGCCTTGAAATCCCGATCAGCCTTTCCTCTGTCGCTCTATAACAACAAAGATGCAAAGGTTCAACACTACGCCGCATACTGTGAAACATAATTTTTGTTTGTATCGAAAGCTTGTATTCTATAGTACTTGGAAAGTGCTGCTAGAATCGTGTGGTTAACATAAATTGATGCCAATTCCTTGATCGTATGTATAAAATTTAAAAATTTTGGTAAGGTTTTATACGAAACTTTAGAATAATTTTTATTGTGTTTGGAGAGTAGGATTCTAGCAGCACTTTTCATGGTCCAGTGATGTTTTTACATAATTATTTTCACAAAAAGAAATAAATTATCCCCAGGGTAGTGTTGAACTTTTCACTTTTTCATTAAGGCAATTTTTTCTATTTATAGACGTCACGTGATGACGTCCTAGTGGAGTGCTTCTTTTAGCCTCAGACTCAGTGACGTCTATACAATGAATAATAATAGTAAATGTTTTATCTATGGCTTTTCCGATTTATCAATGTTACATTTTACGAAAAAAGTCTAAATTCGCCGAAATATGATCTGTGTACTGCCTTAACGTACCCGCGTAGTATTTTAATTGACATTTTATGCTATTATACTGACTGAGATTACTCCCTTTTCTTGATCAATGTAGAGGTCCTATCGTGTGAATGGTCAACAGGGGATCCTTACTCCTCCTAGACAATTTTTGGTGGGAATAGTTTTGAAGAAAAAAGTAAACAAACAAAATGGAACAAAGGTTGTTTTTTAAATATTTTTATTTAGTTACTCCATATTTCCTTTAAATTTTCTAAAAATGATAAACAAAATCATTCTGGTTTTCCAAAAGGGATAGCTTATGAATTGAATATCTAATACACTTGATAATCTTGGAATTCTTGGCTTTTCAAAACAGACTACTTTCTATCAAAGTGATTCCTTGAGCATATGGGGATTAAAATTGCAGATTTTCCAGATATTATACTAAAAATGGTACATAATATCAAGGATTCACGCATATGCCACTCTCAAGCTGTAAGAATCTTATTTTAAACTAAAGATTTTCTTCAAATGAACCACAAGCTTCCTAGAAAGAAAATGCTAATGCCATGACTTTTTCGAGATATAGTATAAACTTATGAAAATTAAACACAATAATCATTTTCATTATTTTTCCCACAATAGAATATTTTGAATTAATAACACGCATTTCGTAATCATTGGAAACACTTTTAAGATTGATTTCCAAAAATAACCTTGTTAAATGAGAATATATGCCTTTAGCCTTAGCCTTTAGCCTTTAGCCTTAAATACTAGTGCATTGTGGTTTTACCACCCTTCCGTATAGGAATAGGCAGTCGTTCTCTCTTGACACCGCTAGTGTGAGACCTTACCTGTAGTATTTTCAGGACAGTTGAGATTGTACAAGATTCCAACGAAACAGTCCGACGAAGCATTGAATTTTACCCAGTATGGTGACAAACTAGCACACGTTTCCAAAACAATTGGAGGCAAAAAGAGAATACTGAAAAGACAACTGCAAAAACAACAAAGACCGGTATCCATTTTGTAAGAAAATCTCGATCTATATGACAGCCCTGATCACCTATTTTTAAATCAGTCGGTATGCCATGCCATGCATATGGGTCGATAGGAATATAAATATTTAAAAGGGTGGCTGCTTGTCTAGTCGAGGTACAGTTTCAGAAATAGAAAAAGATAGTGTTATTCATTTTAGTGAATTGGATTTTATTTGCCTTACAATCATAAGTGAATTTACATTTTTTTAACCATTTAAAATACCTCGTAATAAGATGATTCAACTCAGTATGAAACATCCTTTGATATTTAGTTGTGATGAAAACATTCAATACACATAAGCAGATTGTTTTGTTAATTATAATGTCTTGTTAAAAAGTTTTTATTAAGAAATCAAAAGTTATAGTTATAATAAAATGATCAGGGATTGCTAATGGTTCAAAATAATGAATCTAAATATTTGATGATATGATCTCAGATACATTTTTATTAAAATGCAGAACCCGTTCTAGGTAGCCAAACAAAGATAATAAACCTTGATTTGTTCGAGTTGCACAATTTACTACCATGCATATGAAAAAAAGAGATTTTATACAATCTTGGCACTCTATATTAAATGTATGCCAACAGTTTTCATTGATTTAATTCTTCTATAAATTCAAACCAAAACTTAATTTTATTAAGTATACTCTTCAAAAAAAGAAACGCATGGTAGAATTTTAGTGACAAATTGAACATAAATATTATTTAGTAAAATGATGTATTGATCAATAGAGAAATGTGGTTAAAAATAGGTCTACAGTCCAAATGTCATAACTACTCAAGAATTTAAAAATCATAGACAGTTCAAGGTCATTAAAGATCATTATCTGGTATGCCCCCCGCAGTAACAAAGAATAGCCTAAAACGGCACCTAATGGAAGCAAATGAGTGTATTAAAAACTGTATAGGTATACTCTCCCACTCTAAATATAGAGCTTTGGCCAGCTGTTGCAGAGTCTGGGGATGTGATTGTCTTTGGCAAATCATGCCAATCCATTTTGTCCGATGCATGCTCGATTGGGTTTAAATCTGGCGATTTAGATGAGCATGGCAGAAACAGGTTGCTGTTGCTTTGCAAGAATGTCATTGTCAAACGAGCCGTATGTGGCTGTGTATTGTCAGATTGAAATACGGCTCTAGGATGCTGCAATATTGGAAAGGCATGTGCAGGTAGAACATCGTTAGAGTACCTTTGTTCATCAAAGTCCTTTGAATATGAACCAAATCAGTCTTACTTTTATGAAATACCGTTTTTATATCATTACACTACCACCACCAAATCTATCAACGTTCTGGAGGCAGTTTTCTGTAAAATGTTCATTACAAAGCTTATGCATTCTTAAACTTATAATAATAATTCCAGCATTCCGTTGTCAACTGCAAACGGTCTTATTAGATATGCTGTGCAGTTCAGGGATAGCTATTGCTATAGATGACGTTATTGTGAAACATTCACGAAAATTACGCAAACTACTGAAGCGATCCTGTGCTGCTGATGTTACGCATGGTCGGCCATAGTTTTGGCGAACAATGGATGTTCCATGTTAATGGTATATGTTTTATAGGTTAGATATGGTGCTGTGTGTAACATTAAAACCTCTTGCAATTGTAGATTGTGGTACACCTGCTTCCAGTCGCCCATTTTCCTTTTTGTGATATGCAACATTCAGATGCATCATTTTTAAATATCGTCAATTATCAGATAAAACCAGAATCAAAATATCGAGAACCCCAGCTTTTTGATAGCCCTTTGGAACCTTAAAGAATTGCATCAGAAACCAACAAATAAAAATTGAGAAAATTTTTTTTAGCGTTTTGCAAAATCAGGTCTTTTTGTCTGTTAGACTTGTAGAATAGCTGTAAAATTAACAATTGCGTTAAAAAATAACGCATTTTACTCGAATGAATCATATCCGTCTGAAAAAAAAAAATTGTATGACAAAAATATCTTACATTTTTCAGGGTATTGTGCCTATTATACGTTTCTTTTTTTGAAGAGTATATTTTATATTTCAGTCTTGAATACTTTTAACATTCAAGTTAACCAAAGTGAGGTTAATCTACCTTACCTATACTGGATTCCTAAACTTCATAAAAATCCTTACAAGATGTAAATCAGATGTTGATTCTCAAATACTGCAAAAAACCTTAGAAAATTTAAAATCACCTAATTTTTTTTCAAAAGGCAGTAATATAAAAACATACTTTTTTCCGCACTTTAAACAACCATTCCTCGCAATAAATTAAAAAATAGATTTTTTTATATCATAGACAACTGCTTTTTATCATAAAAATGGAACTTGGAAATGTTCATATCTTTTGACTAGTCACCAAAAAACAACTTAGTTAATATTCACTGATTCTACATAGAAGTACTCTGAAGTTGATATTAATAGTTCCTCATTGACAACATCTATGTAGTCTCCGGAGACAATGTCTTCCAATAATCTGTTGAAATTTCGATGGGCACTAATTGTGCTCCTTTATAAGCCGCCGTCTTTTTATATTCCTATGAAATAGAATTTATGCAGAAACTTCCAATTAAGAAGAAGGAAACACTTTCCGTGGCCTTCAACTTCAGATGTATCAACGACGTTTAATCAATAACCAATAGCTATTTCCATTTATACGTCGACTAGATATATCTCAGTGAACTTGATGTAAAAGAGACCACTCAGTCTGCCACATCTGTTTCATATTTGGATGTTTTTCTGATTACAGACAAAAATGGCCAATTAACAACGAAATTGTATGACAACGAGATGACTTCAGCTTTTCCATAGTCAACTTTCCGTATTCGTGCAGTAATATTCCGTTATCACCTGCATATGGTGTTAACATCTTCTAACTTATTCTGTACTCAAGAGCATGCTCTGAGTAAAATCAATTTTAAGCCAAGGCAGACTACTAACAGATAAGTAGATTTTAGAGGGATTTTAACAACCTCGTTTAAAGTCAGCGTTTTGTAAATTCTATAGTCGTTATAATGATTTTAGCAAATATAACCTATCGATTGGTGGTATTTTGGTTGATTTGTTTCATACCAGTTGTTAGGCCGTTGCTTTTAGACTTCATTTGACTACGGAATATTTCTTTTTACCAGACCAATACGTAGGGTTTATAGTGGGTGTGGTCGAACGACAGAATATGCTTCCTAGGCACCTGATCCCACCTCTGGAATTATCTGGGATCTGGTTTTATGCCCTGTTCACGGATTTGTATTGTTTGTAGATTTTTTGAAATTGCTCACTGTTCGTTATCTTCATCTATTTCATTACATAGAATGCCTCAAATAATGGTAGATATTATTATAGAAAGTGTATATGAGAGAGAAAGAGCAGGACAGTTTATATATTTCATATGGTTAGAATATTACCTCGTTTCGCCTAATTTTCATGTTTTTCCCAAGATAATAAATAATCTTTGAAACATCAAACACGATGGAGATTTATCCCAACGTCTTTCCTTTTTTAAATTTTTGGAAAGCAAAATTCCAATTTGTATTATAATTTTGGGGCTTTTTTCCCCTTCCTTGATGATAGAATCAGTTTATTCATGTTGTTTTTGAAAACACCATATTCCCGCCGCCATGATTTTTTAGAGGGGGGGGGGGGGCGGAGAGAATATAAAAATTTTTATAGGGACCAGTTCTACTACAAAACTTATTCTTAAATTCAATTTGAATTTCAAGAACAAGTTTCGGGTTTCGATTATTTATGTAGATTAGTTATGTAGACACTTAGCGGAGGAAAAGAGAAATACATGGTGTTCTTGAACAAGTGAATATTTGGCGAGGCGTAAAGTCCGCCCAAAATGCATTTTGCCAAATGACTCATACTTTTTTGTCACACCACCTCAAAGTGTCTGCAAACCGAATTATCATGGCGAAAATATTTGATTAAAATTCATTTTCTCTCCGAGTCAACAAACCCTTCCGTTACAACTGTTTACATTGTGAAGTCGTCTGATGCTTATTTGACGTCAGTCACTGAGATTCTTATGAAATCAAGGGGAAAAAGGTATATGGAGTTTGATAATTGGATAATTAATACGGCTTGTGGATGGGTAGACTGTACATTGAAATTGATATTTAGTCAGTAGGTCATGTCTGTCGAGGGGGATATTAACAAAAAATTAGCAATTTTAAATGTCTTAGAATCTTGATTTATCCTTCGAGTTGAATCCTTTCTTTGGAATTTTAAAGAAAAAAAGGAGCCCATAGGCCACAACACTCACTTGATATATTGTGGGCCTGCTGTTCGTCATCAGCAGATTTTTCTCTGTATATAAAATATTGATCTCCTCATGTACCCAGATAGCAAGACATTGTTGGGCCAACGTTGGCCCGATTTTTTTTCCAACGTTGGCCCATTGTTGGTAGTCCTACGTTGGCCCACGGTCATTTTGCTCATCGGCCCAACGTTGGTCCAACATGATGGCATATTGTTGGGCCAACGTAGGTATAATTGTAAGCCAACTAACAGCCAACCTTAACAACTGGTTGGTTAGGTTGGCCCAATGTTGGGCCTTTGTTGAAATGTCAGATGGCATATTGTTGGTGCCAACGTAGTTATTATAGTAAGCCAACTAACAGCCAACATAGAAAAAACACTTGCAATCGGTTAGTTAGGTTGGCCAACGTTGACCCTTCATTGAATGATTGGTCCGATATTTACGGTTTATTGGCCTTAAGCTTCTTTCTGTTGGGCAATTGTTGGATGAAACTTACATCTGTTTAAATAAATTGAATGAATACTTCTTGAAAATACATTTATAAATAATTCTTTATATAGACCTTTCTCATAATTGTTTTAAAAAAATAATACACACTTCAACCTGCATTCATAATGCATACATGTTCATAGAAAACATTACAAGTGATTCACTGTAAAATTATTTTATAGATATATATCAATTCAATCAGAATTTACAAAATTACTTTTAAAATAGATAATGGTG